TCTGTTTGGCGAAGGCCGCGCAGCGACGAAACACATTCTGGGGTCGTGTAAGTTGCAGCTCGGAAACGTAGGGTGTCAAGAACAAAATGCGCGGAAAATAATTACGAGCACAGCACGCCGCAGGCTTCGTCGAGGAACGTACTCTCCAACAAGTCTCGTATGTCTTCCACTCGGTCGGTAACGATGTCCATGAATTCGGGCGATCCCCTGCTCTTCACGACGACTTGAACGGGATGCACAGAAAATTCGTGGTACCTCACTTCCAGTCGCAGAACACCGGGGTGCCCTTTGACGGTGAGCTGCAAGTCCGCTCTCACAAACGTGCAGTTGCCAGCGGTGTGCAGTCTTTGGCCTAATAAGTGGGCCGCGTGCTTGCGTTCGGTGTCCTCGACCTGTTGTCGGCGCAGCAGGTAGGCTTTCAGCCGCTTCGGCAGCTTCGCCAGGGCTTCTTCCAGGGACGACGAAGCGATGTCTTGGCCTATGGCAGCGGCGATGCTAAAAGGCATCTTGATCGGCCGGATTCTACCACGCTTTTCGACTACGAATTTGAACGCGTGGCCGCCCATTTCGTATTTCACTGACAGCGCACCGTCCGAACGCACGCGCGCCCTCAAGCCATGTATGTTTTCTTCAGCAAAGTCTACAATCTCGCGCTTGCTTGGGACGGCCATGGCCTCGCTCTAAACACACAGAACGAACACGGCAAGCGCATCAGCACTGGGCGGATGGCGAGGCTTCCTACGTGGTAAGGAGCCAGGGACGCCAGCACGAAGCTACGAGTGATTGCTCGACGTTCGTGATGTTCCGTCGCACACGTTAGAGCAGTGCAAGACATAAACCCAGGAGTCTTCGCAAATTCTCACAAAATCACACAAATATTAGAGCACTGCGAGACGTAAATCCAGAAGTCTTCGCAAATTCTCACGAAATCACACAAATGTTCGGCCTCGTTTTTGCCCGGTGCGATTTAAAAACGCGTCACAGAGAGGAGGACAAAGCAAAAAGAAAGAACGCGCTCGCGATGTCGATCTCTCTTGTCTTGCTGAATGAGCTGGTTGCTTCAGTTCAGGTGGTTTTTAAATTGCTCAAATAAATTCTGTAACAAAATAAAAAGTCCGTTCAATTAAAAAAAATGCACGGCACCGTATATAAAAAGGTTCGGCCGGTGCCGGCATCTGGTGCAGCAGGTGTATCTAGGTGCCTTAGCACCAATTTCAGGGTGCAAATGCAACGCATTAGCGGCGCCACTGCTTAGTGTCAATCGAGTGTTGAGGTGGAAGAGGCGCTGCGAAGGACACCTGTCGTCTGCTGCTCAGCTGCGTAAGTCGTCGTGTGTATTGTGCGGCCACGGATCTGCAGCTCCTGATTTGTAAGCAGGGAGGAATTCCACATTGCTATGGAAACAGCTGAATCCGGCAGCGAAGACGAGGAATTCAACGCAGTGTTGTGTCAAAGTGGTGCTCAACTGGTGCGCAGTGATAGTAACCGCACACCTAGGTACTACTCGAAAGTTGTGGTCCGTTATTTTGACTACTAGTTCAAGTGCCTTTTTGCCGATGTTGCCGAAATTCTCTTTATATTTATCAATAAGGAACCTCGTCTTTCTTCCGCTCCACAGCACTTTGTCAGGGTCGTCGCGACGTGCAGGACTTTGATCAGCGCTCTGACCAAGCACGGCAGCTGCTACAGAGGCCTGGTAGGCGGCCTCTGCAGCAGCTGCCGTGCTCAGTTACGTTCATACTCTCTCATACTCACACTCGGAAAACTCATTCACGTTCATACTTCCTCCCTCTTCCACTCACTCATGAGTACTCAATCACGTTCATACTCACTCCTGCACACACTCATGAGTACTCACTCACGTTTATACGCACTCGTACTCACACTCAGAATAATCATACATGTTCATACTCACTCCTACTCACTCAGAATACTCATTCACGTTCATAATCACTCTTACTCACACTCATGAGTACTCACTCACATTCAAACTCACTCCTACTCACACTCTGAATACTCATTCACGATCATACTCACTCGTACTCACACATGAGTACTCACTCACATTCATACTCACTCTTACACTGAAATATCAAGTTCATACTCACTCTTACTCATGAGTAATCATTCACGTTCAAACTCACACTCGTGAGTACTCACTCACGTTCATACTCACTCTTACTCATACTCATGAGTAATCACTCACATTCTACTCACTTCTCCTCACACTCATGAGCACTCACGTTCAAACTCACTTTTACTCACACTCGGAATACTCAATCACGTTCATACTACTGCCAACTCACACTCATGAGCATTCATTCACGTTCATACTCACTCCTACCACCGAAATTGATATGGCATAACATGAAAATCGTGACATGTATGTCATGACTTACATTTTATGGTCTAGCTGCTCTTGCGGTGGTTTGTTCACATGGCATTTTGAAAAACTGGTATGGTACGACATGACTGCATAGTGAACATGAGTTACAGAACCTATTGTGGAAATCATGACATGCATGTCATGATTTTCATGTTATGACTAGTCATGACTACACGCCTCACTTATGGTGTGATTGCGGGCGTTTCACTAGCTTCACATATACCAAATTCGGTATTACTGGACGTGAATAGATAATGAAGGTACATGACTGGTGCAAACATGATAATCATGATATGCGTGCGTGTCATGTAAAACATGACTACGTGCTACGTTCATAGCGTGCTCGAGGGCGTTTCGCTAGCTCCACAGATACGAAATTGGGTATTATGTGATGTGGATTGAGGGCGAAGATACATGACTGGTGCAAACATGATAATCATTATATGTGTCTCATGTGAAACATGATTACGTTCTACGTTCACAGCATGCTCGCGGGCGTTTTGCTAGCTCCACATAATACCAAAGTTGGTATCAGGTGACTTGAATGGACGACGAAGGTAAATGGCACGTCCAGACATGATAATCTTGATATGCGTGTCATGTGAAACATGATTACATGCTACATTCATAGCATGCTCGCGGCGGCTTCGCTAGCTCCACATATACGAAAGTTGGTATGATGTGACGTGAATAGACGAAGGTAAATGACACGTCTAAACATGATATGCGTGTCATGTGAAACATGATTACATGCTACACTCGTAGCATGTTCGCGGCCGTTTCGCTAGTTCCACATATACCGAATTCGGTATCACGTGAAGTGAATAGACGAAGGTGACATGTCCAAACAAGATAATTTTGGCATGGAAGTCATGCACGGCATAATTTGCATCCATCTCATAACGTTGTGCTAATATTAAAGTGACATATTAACCTTCCTTATGCGTGCTTCGCATATTATCGATTGCCACGATATGTCGGATCTGCTCATTTTTAATGGCAGACGCTGCCTGCGCCGACCTTGCGAGGTTAGAGAGAGGGAGGAGAGCGAAACTTTTGCGGCCGTCTTTCAGGGTCGGCACGAGACTCCAGCATGTGGCAGATATAAGACACGATCATGTACACTGTGGACTGCGCCACCGCCAAAGCTGAAGCGCGACATTGTGCGACTAAGAAGTGCTCCGCGTTTAAAAATACACCTAGGCTAATACCCAGTGCCAAAATGCTGTGAATAAGTCCCGCGCACATTCGACTGCCTCTCAACGTTAACTTTTTCTGCATACGACTGGACATCTAAATCACCTTCTTTCAGAAATCGCAGTCACCATGGACATTGCTCGTTTCAAAACTGCTATTAAGAATATATGTCTTTTAACGTTATAAAATCTAACCTGACCCACCAGTTTTTCTGTTCCCCCACACCCTCATGTAATGTCTCATGTGGAAGCCTTGAGGTATTATGAATAAATGAGTGAGGTATGCATCCTTTTCTTCACCCCAAAAAAGCTCATGCTGTGTCCAGTGGCAGATCCAGCCTCTCAATTAAGGGGGGCAGGTCAGCTTTGTTTTTACTAGCAGAAAAAACCCTTCATAGCATAAATACTGTTGTGCTCACAGTGGTTTCACTCATTTGTTTTAATTGGCAATAAGAGGCAGACTACAAGTACTGAAGTGAGAGAGAGGGAGTCAGAGCTTCCCCCTCACTTCGGTACTCTCTATCCGCCACTGGTTGTGACAAAAGTGTAACTAATGTGTTATGCATGTTCTCGTGTACAGCATGTACCAAAAAATGAGATCTCATGTTCCCTGAACATATCTACTTACATATGAAAATTCACTCACAAAGGCAAACTGAGAACTTTGTTCTCTTGTGCCAACAGCTGTCCCTGGAAGCTATATACTATACATAGACGGGAACAGATTACGTCAGTGCGAGTCATAAAAGGCAATAGCTTCTTTTAAAATAGATTCCTGTGCATGCTAGTGAGACTACCGTGTAATGTCAGCAGACTATGAAGCATGCCAGCCACCCCTTGGCAAGAGGCATACCCGATCCAAACTCGGCTATTATGTCACGTACTAATCTCCTACTGGTCAATGTTACATTTTGACACCAGACAGCAGGCAGTGGAAGCTCCGAAGAGAGTGGGCACAGGCCTCCAAAATAAAAAAGGACGCTGAAGAAAATGGCAACTTTGCATTTCACTTCCACCCGAGCTCTTCTCGCCGTGCATGGCTGCAAGATTTGACTGACCTGTTCATAGCAGTGTGTCTGCTTTCGGCAGGATTTGTTGTTTCACCGGGCCCGCGGGTTCATAACCACAAATTCCCAAATTCAAATGCACTAGAACTATTGCATTTTCGTGGAACAGTAGCACCGAATTGAGCCCTACCCTTGTGTGTAGCAGCGCAGCATGCACCTATCATTTTATTGAACAGTGTGAAGCATGTCCCTTGGCGGGATTCAAGTGAGAAAGCAGTTCGCAAAAGCATATTCCTCTCTGAAAACAGCCGAAACAGAAATGCAGATCACTGAACCTGAGGTCTGTACGCACTGTAGCATCGCAGGTTTGACATCCGGACCAGCAACGAATGAAAAGGCAAAGGCACAGTGTTGAGTTTTAAAAAAATCTTTATTAAAGAAAAAAGGTCTGCCGCGCACATTCTATCCAAAAAGACGTCTGTGTGAGTATAAAAGCCTAGCTCGTCATTGTCTTGTGCATACTGCATCCGGTGCAGTCAAAGAACCGCAGAGCAACAATGTAGCCACTCATTCGAGCCTTGTCGGTAACTGTTCAAGACACTTTGTTGGGGCTAACGTGCAGGCCCAGCCAAGCATCACAGTACACAAAACTCACATGCATAGATAGCTCTTGATGCACTATAAACTATCCTTTGGTAGCGCTCAAGTGAGCCTGTCCAACAAAAACAGTGGTGCAGCTTGTTCTTCGACTTGGCTGGGCACACAACCCGTCCTTATGCAAGCATGGGATACTTCACACGTTGTGCAATGCCGTGTTCTAAGCTCAAGTGTTTATTCTGCCTCGGGCAGTCTTGACAGTCCTCTTTTTTTGTAGAATGTAACTGCTGTTCGGAAACTAAATTTATCGACTCTTAATGGAACAAATTTTTCGTTTGAAAGTCTAATTTTCATGACCTAATCTCAAGCTTCAGAACTTATCACGGGCTACCACATTTCATAATATGTACTGCAATAACTGGATGGATGTAAGGATGCGATTTAATGCTGACTAGTGTTTGTCAAGTTTTTAACTATTCACGGAAATCAGGTCATTGCAAAAACCAAGATTATCTAGCACTTCAAACACAGTATTTTCACGAGAAGCTGTCATATTTAGTTAATTCACTTAATGATAACCAACACACTGAGTGCAGGACATCTGCAACTGCCGACAACACCCGACATACCGTGCAACTTTCGTGTTCAGCTTTCTATATAATGGCTTGTAATTAACTGTCTGTGCAAGACCTCATATTGCTTAGAACGACTATGAAAACAACCAAAAGAAAAATTCAGCATATTAGGACACATGATGAAAAGAAAAAAAAGAAAATCGAAGAATAAAAAGTGCAACCAAGATCACAGACGTAGCTTGCATTGCTGACTAAAGAGGAATATATGCCCCCCACCAGTAGTGGACATTTTAGTGGTTGACACAAATTCGTCCTATAGCCTTTTAGTGGGGAGGGGAGGGGAACCTTTAGAACGGGCAACTCGTGTGTTCCTCAAGCGGCAACTGCTTGCAAACTCCAACAGAGATGAAATCAAGTTTATTTTAGCCTACCAAGGTTGATTAACACTGTGAAACTAAGTCATATTTCGTTACTGTGATACTGCAGCTGAGATAAAAGAGATATTTTTTTTTGTCCTCGTAGCACTTTGTCAGAGGAGGGGCATTCTTAAGAATGTCCAGTTAGTTTAGTCTTGTCAACTATCATCTTAGATTGTTACTGTCATTTTAGATTACTATCATCTTAGATTGTGCTATGAGGGCCATGTTCCCCAGCAGATGCTGTCAAAATCTAGTGGACCATGGTGAACTGGTGCAAAAGCCTTAGGACACACCGCCGCTACTTTTTCTTCTTTCTAAATCTTCGCTGTTTTACGGAACTCGCTCTTGCAATAAGAGCGCTTGTTTTTCTGTTGTACTGGCGCGATTCACAAAAACAGCCCCACACACGAATTCTCTTTCGTACTTGTTTAACCACAATAACAATCACTCAGGAATACAAAAGTACAAATCAATTAGTATACCATCTCACAAACTTCGCAACAACAATGCCCGCTTGTTGGTTCAACACACCCAAAACAGGTGTGCATTCTAAGTGGTAGTTTCGAAGGTAAACTAGGAAAACCTATTTGAAGCAACGCCGTTATTAAAAGAATGCTTCAAACGTCAAATAAGCACCCTAAACACTTGCACAACAGTGCTCGCACGAACGATGGTAGTCGGTACAGGCTTTTGGAAGATTCCGCTGTACAGGAAGCAAGCAGTTGCAGCTTTCGCTTGCAAGCCAGAGCTAATTCAAACAAATGAATTGGAATGCTAAGTCAAAACACTGCACACTTCTGCAGCATTTAAAGGGAGAAGAGGTGACTGTAAACTTTATAACCACTGACCAAACTCACTTAAGAAGCAGCGCACACATGTGCCACCACTTGGGTATTGCTACATTTAACATGCACTTATTTCCTAAATAAGAAAGAAAGAAAAGCAATATCTGGGAGAGAAAGGGGATGTGAGGACCTTGAATGAACACAACGTAGGCTATACTACATAAAACTCTTGTAATCATCTGCATAAACGAAACTTTAAAAATGTGATCTGTTTGTTCAACATACAGAATGAAATGTGCGTGCACAAGCGACAAAAGCTTGCAGCAGCAAGTGCCGATGCAAGGGCTGAATTCTGGAACGATCCCTCTCCTTTTTTACCATCTCGGATTTCACGTAAACTCCCGGAACCAATGTTTATCTGTAATAATTCCAGATGTTCCTGTTAGCCACCGTGCAAATGCGACAATAGCTGAGGCTCATTCACTTTTTAGAAAATCTGCCGATCTGGCTGGACAGGTGTTTTATCGTTATTAAGAAACAACTTGACGGAATAAGACAAAATACTGGAAACGCTCGAACACAACCTTTCATCTTATTGCGTTGCACTACTTCATAACAATCAATCCGTACCAACTTGTTTACAATGTATTAATGAGAAATGGTTCCAGAATTCAAGCCCGGGTCTCACACGGTGGGAGAAAACAGCGACAAATAAATACAAAATGGACACATCTAAGGAGGGACACGAGACACAAAAGAAAAAAAATATTTAAAGACAGTAGTGGAGGACACTGAAAAATGGGAGGCAAGATGGTGCGTATCTCGTGCAATCACAAAGACTGCACTGACTAGCCTGGCACTGATTTCCAGCAGGTTGCTAAAACAAACATATGGCTCAAACGCGAGAAATGCGTGTGCAAACAACCTATACATGTGTGTAAACTAGAGTGGTGATACATTTTTTTTTGCTAATATACAGAAAGAAGACCTGCTGCTGCAACAATGTCAGTAGCCAGGCTTTTTCTTTGAACCCTCCCTCTGGATTATTGAACAAAGCTCTGAATTGCTTGTTGACTCCGCTTTGATCGTCGGACTGAAAAGAAAAAAAAGAACAAAATTTCCAACAAGCGAGGATTCCTAGAGGCCTCTGCAAGTTGGCTGTTCTGCTCCTCATAAAATCAAAGGTTCACATAGCAGAAGTTGAGAGGTGCATGGGTGTATAACTGACAAAGGCAACTATTCTACACCCAGTCACCAGCAATAAGATTTGCAACAAATCACGCTCAATATCGTTGTACGACGTCACGTTGATCGAAACAATGAATGAAGTGGTTGTTCTGAAAGACTCACCCAGGTATGCAACCAATCTGGTTGCACTCGGCAAGAACCTAGTTAGCTGCAAACTTTTAAAATCATAGTTAATAAAAGTGGTTCTCCGTAAGGTTTTCTGTAACTTCTCCGCCGCGCCTTCTTTCCAGAGCTTCTGATGGACGTCATTTCCGGTTTGGAAAAAGGCACAACCATTGTGCAACGATAGATAAGCTCTGGTAACGTAAATACGCAATCAGCTCCGACACAATCCGGCGGCAGCCACTGCATGCAACTTTCAACATTGGCACACAGATAGAAAGGAAAAAAAATCGTTTTTTTTTTAACAATAACAACTGCGTGTTCAAACTTTAAAACATGAAAAAAAAAAAACACACTACACACCACCAGATTCACGGCACAGCTTACAGCGCAAATGCAGCATATTGTCCGTGCTTGGCATGTTGTTCTGAGTATGTTTAAAAAAAGCAAAACACAACATACAATAAAAATTTGGGCCGTGGCAAATGTGCCCATCACCACATATGCTCGCACAGCACCAAGCACAGCAGCTCGCAAATCTGCCTCACCGAACCAAGCTAGAAAATCTAAGCAAGAGTCGCAACTGAATTGTAGAAACTTTGACCCCAACTCAAATTGTGTTTTGAAACACAGTTCATTCTCACATATGCTTTCGATGTTTCCGAAATCGATAACAAGACTGGGTTTTCAGAGAGAAATTTCGAAATTCTCATTCGCAAAATTTGGGCAGCGCACGGCTGTCTGGTCATTGGAGGTCTCCCTGCAGGTTTCCCTACAGGCTGCAGGTCATCGCAAGCAGCAGCCACAGGTTTCCCGACAATACAAAGATACAACGACAGCAAATTAAAAAAAAAAAAAGAACGCATGCAGAACTATCGTTGCAAGTTTGCCTTAAAGCCATCAAGCAGCTCCTGCTCATGCTGACAAAGGAAGCCATTAGAGAATAAATGAAATTTCACCAGTGAAACACTGTTCAATCGCCGCTCAAGATTTTACAATTGATGTGGAGAGCAAAGCAAGATGCAGAAGACACCATGCTTCTTTACAAACTTGCACATGCTTGAGCATGTTGTAAACTGTACCAGCTTTTCAGCGCTCAAAAGAATGCAGGATGGGGGGATGGGCGTGAAGACAGGTCCATCCGCTCCTTCGTTCTTTTGTGCCCTAGAAAGCTACTCTTCTTTCAATGCCAGGCCGTACCCAGATGGACAACTATGCGTCTTCGTAGAATTTAGGATCCCAATGCACTAGCGGGCAATTTTTTACAGGGCCTCGGCAATATGGAAGAAACAGCTCAAAGGGGCCAAAATCAGGGCCGGCTAAAAAGCCGACCAACAGCACTTGCGCGTAATAGGCGATGGAGGACTTGCAAATGGCCGCAATCTGTCACGGCAGTGATGGAAGCGGTGAGGCACGCCTTATTGTTCGGTGTCTGGAGGACCAGGGCACTACCATCATCGGGTGGTCGAGCGGTTGACTGTGCTGTTCGCCTCAGGCTGTCCCAACAACGGCCCGTCGCTGCCGTCCACAATCCTCCGGAAGAAGTGGTCCTCGTCTTGAAAGACGTATGGCTGCCGGTTGTTCTCGTAGAGCAGGCCCAAAATAATGTTGAGAGCTGATACGTCGTACCTTTGTGGGGCAAGTGTAACCAAGCATTTAGCAATGTGTCCGCGAACGTTTACAAACAAGAGCAATAAAATTTCTAAGTGAACCATGCAGCCTAAGACAATATCTAATACATAACAGGGCCTGTGCAAATTTTCGTCACATGGGTCAACGCTAAACATTATGCGGCAGCCTGCCACTCAACGTTGATACTGATGCTCGGCTATCGTTGTGCTTCGTTCTTTTGAAGCATGGTTGAGGCGGGTTGTTACTTAGATGCAAAAGCATGGCAGCAATGCAATTCTTCTTTTCATGGGTTCTCGTGTACCATACGTAGCAGGAAATTCTTTACTGGGTGTTTATCAGCATAGCCTGGCAGCTCTCAATGCGACTCAAGCCAAGAAATGAAATGCACCAGCTGACACAATCCGGTGGCAGCCAGATAGAAAAACATTATTTCTTTTTTTTTTTAAAGTAGTTGAGCTCGAAATGAGTGCAAGCGGTATATTGGTAGGTTTATTTGTCTAATGCGCACTCTTGTCGAGCTTGGCTGTAGTTACGTTAAGTGGACAGCGCAAACGGGCAGTTGTCAAAAGCTAGCACCGTTGTGCATCATCATTCTCAGCTGTTCTAGGTTGCACCGTTTCGAATCCCAATTATTAATTATGTCATCATGTACATTGCTCGATGAATGTGCACACAACTTATTGCTGTAGTAAAATGTTTTATTCGCGAGAAAACATGACTCACACTCCCACATACAAGATGCTTAGAAGATGCCCTGTCAAAGCGGAAACTTCACATTGATAACATCTATCATTCACTCTATGAGAGCAATGACTACTGTGACATGTCCCTTTAGAAATGCTATTCCATTCAGGAAAATTGAAAATTTTAGAAATAATGTAGCAATCCAAACTTCATGTTTACAATGTTTTCTAGCATGCTAATGCCATGGAAAACTTTGCAACGACTTTTTCACTACTTCAAACTGCTTATCATTGTCACTACTAAAGAAAACATAAGCAAGAATAATATACAATTTGCATAATATATTAGTTCAATTGGCTGCATGAGTTTAAAAAAACAAGAAAAACATTGTTACAGAAATTTCATTTTCAAAGGGTGAAAATGCGTGTTCCCTAATTGGGGCATTAGTCGTTCCAAACGTGGCGGAAAAAACCCATAATAAATGTGAACTATGGCTTTCAGTACTTGAACCATCTCATAGATGATTCAATAATAGAAATTGCAGAACCTTGTTCACACTACTTCATATGCAAACAAAATATTCATTGCAAAACTTTGAGCGGTTAGGCCTAAGCAGTTGCACGCTGTGCAAATTGCTTGCCCTAGTTTCCTTTTTCTTCTTTGCTCCAGCCACCAAGGTAAACTCCTGCTGCTCACCTCACTCTTAGGGAATGGCTAAAGGAAAGAACACTCTGGCCGACAAAGGCACAAGTTTTCAACAATTACCGAGCACTTTGCTGTTGTGCAGTTGCCGTGGTGGAGTTTGCTTAAAAGCTACCGTTCACAAATGTGGATGCTAGTGATGTAGCAGCTATTCTGGTAGTTTCACTTCGGTTTCCTCCTAATGCCTTCAACTCTTGAAACACAGCAGCTCTGACTTACCTATGGCAACCCGAGTACCGGTACAGGGGTTTCTTATCAAAGCGACAGCCCGTACTCTGGGCCCCCACGGGGGTGATGCAGTCGGCCACCAGGGCACACCGCACCCACGGCAGCATCAGACGACCCCGCACCTGCACACCACGAGAATGCAACTTCTTGTACGGCTTAGTAGCAGTAGGAGGAAACAACATTGGATTGGTTTCGCAAGAACTAAGGCAGAAACTTCGAGCCTCTCCTGCAGGATGCACCTGGCGTGCCTTTCGGCTGCTCTCTCGCCAATAGCACACTTGCTACTTTTCAACTGAGAATCCGCTACTTTCACACTGAGAGCAAGCTGCAATGCGGGACGGATGCCTGTTATCGTTGCATGTTGGAACGGCGCCCAGCATATGACCTTGCTTTTTAAAGGGCACCTGCTCTTGATGTTTCACAACGGAAAAAATGAGGATGGTAGCAAGAAACAAGCCAAAACTGGCAACAAGCAACCCTTATTTGAGGAAGTATTACAATTAGGCTTGTGCGAATATTTGCATGTATATTGCTGTATTTAGATTTGCTTCGATTTTAAATTATTGAAAATTTCAAAGTATTCGAAACAAACAAATAAATGTATTAGTAAATCACGTTAAAACACCTGTAAATGTGGTTTCACTGCTGCAAAGAGGCTCTAAGCCGTGAAAATACCCATCCAGCGAAAATATGCACTGCCGCGAAGCTCCACTTCAAGGTTAAATGAACATATTACCCTCATATCAATTCACCATTTTTTAAGTTTGCAAGCTTGTTATGCCGGCTTATATGCTCCAAGTATAGTAAATTTTTCAAACGTAAAATAATTTACAGGTTATCACTTGCATTCTACCGAAAGTCAAATCCTGCTGCTATTCAAAGCTCTTTCCACTTCCTTTTAAGCGAAATAATGGCATTTGCACAGGACTGGTTTCAATTTAAAAAAAATATATTGTACAGTTTAGATTGGTCATGACAAACATATAAATGAGATGTCTTTATAATATGTGATCTATAACATTTGCATTAGACTAAAACGTAAAATTCACTATTCGCACTAAGCCTAGTTTTGCGTTAATGTCTTGCGTGATATACCATCATGCAAAAACATTAAGGACCAGCAGGCAAATGGCATGTGCGTTGGGGTATTTAGACATGTGTTTATCCAGAAACTTTACCTCTTGCTTGGAATGTGGATAGGTTAAGCGGTGTTACAGTGAGACTTATCTTCTGCCATCAACATCATCATCATCAGCTTGACTACACCCATTGCAGGGCAAAGGCCTTTCCCACGATCCGCCAATCAACCCAGTCGTGTGCTTTCTGCTGCCACATTATACCTGCGAACTTTCTTTCTTCTCATCGACCCACCTAACTTTCTGTCTCCCCCTCGTGTGTTTACCTTCCCTAGGAAGCCAATCAGTTACCCTTGATGACCAGCGGTTACCCTGCCTACGCACTACGTGCCCGGCCCATGTCCATTTAAACAGAAAGACAGCACGCGTTCCTGGGCCGGCTGTTCTATATTCTACCTCGTCTTCCTCTATTTTCTCTTACCTGCCCACGCGCTCAAGCCCCAGCATCTTTCTTGGTCATGACACTCGGCCATGACTGAGGAGACTCTTCTATGCCGCTTGTGGCTTGGAGTCGCCTTCACGAACGCATACTCCTATTTTATTGGAATGGCTAGCCCTTCTACATGCACTTACTGCATGCTGCAAAGAAACCATCGCCCACCTTCTATGTGAGTGTACCCCTTTCAACGCGCCAAGACAAGAACTTACTGAAGTTGCGGATATACTAGATGACTGGTCTTTGTCGGAACAAAGGATTCTGGGTCATTGGCTGTGCCCATCCTCATCCCAGAAGGCTTCGAAAGCTTTGCTACACTTTTTGCGGACAACTGGCCTCAGAGACAGACTTTAGTGTCTTGTTATTTTTTATTTTGCCTTTCTTCTTTTACTATTTTTTGTATTTTCTCTCTATCTGTTTGCAACATTTCTTTTCTATCATCTTTTATTCCCCTCACCCCTTTCCCCTGCACAGGGTAGCCAGCCGGTCTAAGAACTGGCTAACCTCCCTGTCCTTCCGCTTAATCTTTCCTACTCCTCTTGATTTCAACTATGATATCCTTAACCCCAGTTTGTTCCCTGACCCACTCTGCTCTTCTTGCCTCTTAGGGTTACACCTATCACATTTCTTTCCATCGCTTGCTGCGTCGTCCTCAATTTAAGCTGAACTCTCTTTGTAAATGTCGAGGTTTCTGCTCCGTAGCCAAGTACCGGCAAGATACAGCTGTTATATACCTTCCTCTTGAGGGATAGTGGTAATCTACCTGTCATAATTTGAGAGTGCTTGCCTAATGCGCTCCATACCATTCTTATTCTTCTAGTTACTTCAATCTAGTTGTTTGGCTCAGCACTTACTACTTGTCCTAAGTAGACATATTCCTTTACAACTTCCAACATCTCTCCATCTATTGCAAAGCGCTGTTTTCTGCTGACACTGTCGCACAGTACTTTAGCTTTATGCATATTAATTTAAACACCTACTTTTCTGCTTTCCGTGTCCAGTTCAGCAATAATGACCTGTAATTCCTCTGAGTTGCTCATCAAGGCAATGTCATCAGCGAATCGCAGGTTACTAAGATACTCTCCATTAACTCTTATCGCTAACTCTTCCCAATCTAGGGCCCTGAAAACCTCCTGTTAACACGCGGTGAATAGCATTGGAGAGATTGTGTCTCCCTGCCTTGCACCTTTCTTTGGGATTCAGTCACTTTCTTTATGGAGAACTATGGTGGCTGTGCATCTGCTGTATATTTCTTCCAGTATGTTTATGTAGTGTTTGTTGGCCCCATGATTCCGTAGTGCCTGCATCACTGCTGATGTCTCGACCGAGTCAAGCGCCTTCTCATAATCTATGGAGGTATGTATATTGATCGTATTCCGCACATTTCTCTATTACCTGATTGATACTATGAATATAGCCTATTGTGGAGCAGCCTGTACGAAATCCTGCTTGGTCCTTTGGTTGACTGAACGGTAATGTTGCCCTAATTTTATTAGCTATAATTTTTTTAATAGTTTGTAGAGAACAAACAGAAAGCTGATCAGCAGAGACCGGATTATAGGCAAATGCCTATTTTGTTCCTTGCATTCCTATTGTGCCGCTTTGATATATGAGGATGAATTGGAAGTTAAGGACAGCTTTTATAGTGTTTTTATAGTGCCTGTAAATGCCTATCTTTGAAATTTGTGTTTAAGTTACTATAAGTGCCTATAAACACCTATTTTCAAAATCTGTGCCTATTTTACCTCAAATCTTGGTGTCGAGTACAGTTTGAGGACATCATTTAAGGTTTCAATACTTTCTGTCAACTTTACATTCATCTATTCAAGCAACAGAGTGCACGAATTACATGAAGTCGGTCGCTCCGACCTTATTACGCCATCGCACACACATGGCACGATTCAATTTGTAGGTTTCAATACTTTCTGTCAACTTTACATTCATCTATTCAAGCAACAGAGTGCACGAATTACATGAAGTCGGTCGCTCCGGCCTTATTACGCCATCGCACACACATGGCACGATTCCATTTGTAGGTTTCAATACTTTCTATCAACTTTACATTCATCTATTCAAGCAACAGAGTGCACGAATTACATGAAGTCGGTCGCTCCGGCCTTATTACACCATCGCACAGGCATGGCACGATTCCATTTGTAGGTTTCAATACTTTCAACTTCACATTCATCTATTCAAGCAAGAGAGTGCACGAATTACATGAAGTCGGTCGCTCCTGCCTCATTATACCATTGCACAGACATGGCACGATTCCATTTGTAGGTTTCAATATTTTCTATCAACTTTACATACATCTATTCAAGCAACAGAGTGCACGAATTACGCATAGATTCTCGAATAACTCACACAGTGCCACATACTACTGAAACTTACACTGGACCATGCCTTGTTGTACGTTACCTCAGGCCCATAGCTATAGGAATCTTTCTGAGGGAGGGGCTCACCTGTTGAAGGCCTTAAAAGCACCAATTTTTATTTACTGTCCTTGGAAAAACACACGCCTGCATTCAAATTTTGCAAGGGGGGGAGGGGAGAGAGGCAAACCTCTAGCCCCTCTCCTCTATGGCTATGGGCCTGCGTTACCTTCTCCATGCTAGGGCGCGCGCCCGTGAGAAGGGCAAGCGTTGTTCAATCGAACATTTCATCTCTTTCCGGAGCGCGTAATATTGTAAATTTTGGAAGACATGATCGTGAGTGCCCACTGCATGCCTTACATTTGCCAGCTCGAAATTCTCAAACCTGGTGAGGGGCCGTATAAGGTGTTCACAGACAAAGGAGAAATTGGCCCTGCGCGACAAGACCCGGTCAATACGATGCTAAAAACTTTTGTGGCTTTCTAACGGTGTGGCTGTTTGCTCCTTTGCTGCCCTTTTCAGCCATGACAAAAAAAAAAAAAGACACAGGAGTGTGTTTATTTGACGCTGGACACTTATCTCACCATGCTTGCAAATAAAAGGAGAGACCGTGTTCTGCAAAATCGTGTGGGGAAAGGAACAATTTTGCATGGCTAAGCTAAATCACTGGTGCCTTTATGTCATCATAAACTATATGAACTGTTTTTCTTTTATGTCGTAGACACCGGTCCTGCAAGTTTCTTTTCAAAGATTAGAATTTTTGTGAAGCTTACTGTGCCTATATTTACGATTTGGGGGGACTAAAACTATGTTTTGCCTGCCTGTTCTTCACACCTAAAACACAATTTTCGGTGCCTAAAAATCCAGCCTCAACTGATCAGCCTGTCAAGTCCTTGATGTTCCCTTTCTTTTTTATTAAAATGATGTTAGCACTCTTCCAAAATTCTGGTACCCTTTCTGTCAAGAGACACTTCGCATACAAGGTGGCCAGTTCTTCTAATACTATATCTCTGCCATCTTTTGGTAGGTCCGTTGTTACCTTATCCTCGCCAGCCGCTTTGCCTCTTTGCAATCCTTCTAGGGCTTTCATTACTTTCCCTGTTGTTACCGGTAGGATGTCGAATTCCTCTGGGCTATCATTGCTTCTTACGATACCATCCTATTTGTTTCGGCTTCTTTACAGCTCTCTCGAATCAATTTTTTTCCGCCTGGTGTTTTTTACTGTGCGCCAAATTACAAGCAAACAGGCACAGTTACTTTTCAGTCCCATCAGAAGGAGCCACCACAACCAGAAATTCAACCTACACCCTTGTACTTCACAGCATAGCACTGCTCAGGCCATTTATAATGTTACTGCTTACAGTGCACAACCGGCAATAATGTGGCCTTTTCCGACTACCCTTTACCCTCCCATTATGCTCCACGTAATTGCATACCGCATATTGTGCAGATGCCACGACAAAAGATTGGTTATAGTCACTGAGGAAGAAACATTTAGCAGGAGCAACACCGCTCTTCAGGCGACTAGATAATGTCACATTGCCGGAGAGCCATTTTATGCTAGCGACGTCTTGCAGCAGTAAAGGGAATACTACAGTTTTGATTTCCGAGGGAACTGGTCACGCGCGTTGATTGCGTTCCGTCGCAGCCACAAGGCGAGGATGCGAAGCGCGTTTGGTCGTACTGGTTTCTCGCTACGTGGTCACGCTCAGCCGGTAGCATTTCCTTTTCTTTTTTTTTTTTTTTTTGTTGTTGTTGCGGCGTTGCACCTTAAGACGGCGTCCACTGAAATGTTTCCGTCGGAGCGTATTATTTCTGTATTCTTGTGATGTTATTTGCACGCCCGCAGATGCCCATATGGAAGGGAGTTTCATTTCTTAAATATTTACTACGCTGTGGTTATAATGCCGCTACCGGAAAATTCTCAGAGAAGCAAGGCAACGAGAGCCAGCTACGCAAAGAGAAACGTGGGCATTATGAAAGCAGCCGGGAGTGGGGGAGGGCAGCAGTGCGGTAGAAGGAAGGAAAGCGGCTGTGTAAATAACAGACTCCTTTGCCCCCATTGTTATGACGATGTGCACACTCTTGCTTCAGGCGGGTGCCCAAATCTGCATCAAGAGCGTGTTATCGCTGTGTAGCTCTGTTTTTTTTGTCTTGAAAACGGTGTACGTATCGCAGAAGCGACTTAGATTCCACTGCAAGTGACAAGCCTGAGACGCAATCGAGCTTTCTTTGCCAGCAGCTAAAGTATTTTCGAAATACCTTTGCAGGAATGTAGCAGTGGCTGTTCTTCTAACTGTGAATCGAGGTTTTTTGTATGCACTGTTCTTAGCTTAGCTGGAGAGTGTGATCTCTTTTACGTCCTATCTTCGTGTTGTTCTGCACAAACTTGTTACAATGGTTGGTCAAGTTGCCACCCACACCCAGGGTCAAACAAGATCTAGTTGCGGCATCTGTAGTGGCCACGAATGATCAAAGTTGCGTTTTGATGCTGAGTCAGTAAAACATTCCTTCTACAGTTGCAGCACTTAGAAGGGGTGAATTATGTCTTCAATGAAAACGAGGGCGCGCATCTGAAACGCTACAGTGGTCCTGTGATGGTGACTGTTTTGATATTGCACATTCACCCACAAAACCAAAACTTGCAAAATTTCAGTTGCCATTTGATGTATAATTTTTGGTCAGCATGGAACTGCCGTGAACTCCTCATTGATGAGGATGTCGTAAAAGTTAGCCGGTGACTATCCCCTAAGGCACAATTTCTTTCCCCCAGAGTTTATTAATGTCGGCGCCACAGGTCTGCAGGCATAACCTTTCGACATTTACATATTTAGGAGCATACAAATTTACACTCAAGTCACTTGCCTCGACTGTCAGAATCGCGTGGCTGCCTGTTTGCCATGTTTTTGCACGCTTGGAGTCTCTGAGAAATGCTGTATTGGTTTTAGTGTGGTACTGCTTATAAGTGCGTATATATATATATATATATATATTTTTAAAATTTATTTCGCAATACTGTCAACTCTCTTGTGAGAGTCCTTACAGAGAAGGCAATATAATAAAATAGAACATGACTCGGAAATGCAAAAACACAGGCCACATCAATATCAAATGGCGCACTCGCGTGGATAGTCATCCAAGGTCTGTTCGAATTTTGACAAATCGTCCTGTTCGACAACACACACTGGCAACATAAATATGGTTTCGTAAAGAGTGGCCACTCGAGCCTTTTTGCGGCCGAGCAAGAAAAGATTTGAACAACTGCTAGATGGCGTACCCATGCACGCTTCTACTCGTTAGTCAACATGTAATACTAGCTGTCTCAAGAGGACCACGGAGACCCAAATTTGGCATCAAAACTTTTTAGTCAAGAAAATTTGATGGATTTGTGAAATTCTTCATGTTCACTCTACATCGTGTCTCGCTGAAGACGGTTAATGCGCTACCACGAAAATCAGTACAGTCTGACAAGAAAGTGTTGTCTTTCTGCACTTGTTGTACTAAGGGCATACATTTATGTGGCTTAGATGTACAGTAAAAGCTCATTTATCCGGACCTCGTTAACGCGGACATGCGGCTCGGTCCCAGCAAAACTGTGTATATTTCAAAGGTGACAAATGCTCGTTAATTCGGCGGGATATAGACGCACACTGGTTAACTCGAACGACTCCAGAGAGGGCTATAGGGGCTTCATGCTTTTGGTAACAGATTCTGGTTACTGAAAGCATGAAGTCCCGGCTCAAAGTTTTGGTGAAACCAAACGAACAGCAGCAGAACATGATCATGATGATAGTGAATGAAGGGGGAAGTAGCCAGGTGGCATTAGTCACCACCCGGTGGGAGCGCTTGGGCCACTGGTGCATCCGGTGTCTGCGAAATGCACCACACATGGCGCCGCACGGGACAGTTTGCGCCATAGAGTTTCCTAAAATTAACCAGAGGAGACTCTGGCACTGCGATCATTCAGCGACCATGGAAATGATGGGTAGTACACGGATTTGCCTAGTCTTCGTACTTGCGGACTGCGAATCGCGCTTGCGGCTTCGTTTATTGCTGGTTTCAGGTTTCGTTTTGAAAGAGAGAACCAACCCTTTTGAACTTCGTGGATTGATTCGAAATGGTAAGCCTAAAATAATAAGGTAGTGAAGTCCAACCCCTGAACATTTGCTGATTTTTGTTTCGTGAGAAAACAGTTCCAAGCCACACGAACACACACGGAGCCAGAAGCAGGCCAGAAGTATGAAAATTAGACAAATACGTGTAGTATCCATCATTCCCATGCTCGCTGAAGCATCGTGCATGCAGCTCCCATAGACACCAGCACCAGAGTTCCCTCTAGTGTATATTAGGAAACTATGGTTTGCGCCCCGACGGGACAGTTTGCGCAGCCGCCGCTACCCCAGTTGACCGCGACGCCTACGCTGCTGATTTCTTTGCGTAGTGACTTTGCGCATAGCGTGTGCAGCTCGGGTACATTAAAAGAGTCGACTGTTGGGTGAGTTGGCGCTGTGACATAGAAACCGTCCTTACGCTCTTGGGCTGTGTTTGTGCGCATTGATGATGGTGTGGCTGTTGCTGGTTTGCTGACTAATGATGACAAATTATCGGAAGTGCTTGAAGAGGATCAGAATCACTGTTTTGATGATCACATTGAAGATCCGGCGCGACATCGCACAGTGCAGGAAGTCGCCGAACTTTCGCTGCCCTCGTGGAGTTCTACATCGGTTCTCGCGACAGCGAGCGTGCACACAACCATTACATGGGGTTCAAGAAGATCGTTCTAGCACTGATTCCGATGACGAGGCAGACTAAGTTGGTGCAGTTTTTCATGAAGTAAAAGTTTGTCTGTGCCGAGTACATTTTCCTTTTGTTTTGGTGATTCATTCGATAATCCGAAATTCGGTTAACTTGGACACTTTCACCGGTCCCGTGAGATTCGGGTTAACAAGCTTTTACTGTTCTGTACATGTATTCCCCTTGCGGAAGCATGGATGTGTAGCCTAGTAGTAAAGACACTCATTTTTGGAGCATAAGGGTATGGATTCAAATCGCAGCATCAGAAAGAAAATTTTGTCTTGCTTCATTTTTTTTATGCCGAAGACATTACTGGTCTCACCAGACGCTCGTGGCGCTGAAAGCAGCGCAGTAGCTTGGCGGCAAGGCCCTACTGGAGTTCATTCCACATTTTAATTACGTTAAGAAAAAGGGAGTATCTGAATTGATCGGTACGAGTCATTGCACGCCTGGATTGCCCTGTTGTGGTTAGTTCTTGAGCTCTGTTTAGCTGGTGGCAGTAAGTATACTTCTGTGCTAATATTTAGTTGGTCATTTACTATTTGAAGTAATAGTACATCACAATGCATATTTCACAATATTCAAGACTTCGGTGACTTATATTATAAGCGGTCTAGGGTGTATTATTATAGTCACTGTGGCGAGTGCGAGTCCTTCATAGCTTCACACCAACAATGACCATAGCGTTTGCTTTTGAGCCATTAACAGATTCTTTGTCAAGTGGCCCAAGAGAGAACGAGGGCAGCGCACCTGCGGCGAGTCGAACAGGAGAAGCACGGAGGGATCGACCATGCGCTGGAAGAAGAAGTGCTCGCGGGGCGCCCTAAGGAACTCAAACATGCCCAGGTGGGTGAGGGCAGATGTGGGTTGCGGCTGGGAGGACCAGGGCGCGGCCAGGCCCTCGCGCAGCGCCCGGCCGACCACACGGCGCGGGTCGGGTGCGCTGGTCAACTGGTAGTCTGGCTCCACCCACAGCACACCGCCGGACTCTCGAACCAACTCCTGTTTGCACAAACACGTGGCATGTAATATACGCTAAGTTTGAAACAGAAAAAAATCTGTTATATACAGTATCAGACCATGGCACCCAACACAAATGCAGTGGCTTCAAACCTTTGGGTATCAAACGCAACTAAATAAACATTAATAAGTTCCATCAGACAAGAAAGCAAAGGAAAGTGCAGGGGATGTTATTAGTAGGAATTGTAATGTAAATGTGAAGAAAGAAAAGCAGCCGAAATGATAACTTGCCTCTGGCAGAGAGCGAACCGGCGACCTTCGAATAATGCGTCTAATGCTCCACCAAATGAGCCCTAGCTGCAGTCATCTCCGCATTTACTGGAACTCTTTGATTTTCCACTTCTGGCTACCCGCGGGCAGCCAGAGCCAGCCAGAGCGTGCTCGTTTTTCTCAGGCTGCTCCCCCCCCCCCCCACCCCCCCCACGGCGCACTTCCGGTTGGCGTTCGTTTTTCTCGGGTTGGACGGTTCTGGCAACCCGCGGGAAGCCCAAGTGTTGCAAGACGCTTCCAGAACAATTTAGTGGAGGAAGCTTTCTGGAAGGTTTTGGGCAGGTTTCGGGCTAGCAGACGCCGAAAGGTACGATGCACGCTCGGTGCCATCTTTGTGAGGACTCGATGGATTGCAATGTGGGCGCTTGAGGACTGGGCCTTCGCTTGTCATTTCGCATGGCATTATCTTCTAAAGCCTGTTTTGCCTTGGGAGATGAGGGGATTACGAGTGGCGGCGAGTGTTTGAAGCTACTGCTCATCGCTTTAGTTATGTTTCACGTGAAGCTTCCTCCTGTGAACAACGCAGTGAACTGTTGCCTGTCGACTGCGTCGTGCACATGCCTTAAATGTTATGTACGTACTACACGTTCGCGCGCACGCATGGAGACAACTTTGGAGCTAAGTTTTGTCTTTTTTGTATTAGTCGTTTGTGGAGCTGTGCCTGCTTTCTAAGCACTTAGCGAAGACGATTGTGATCGAACTAGCTCGCTCCGTCATATGTTTGCGTACGTGAACCTCTTAGAACCTCTGTCCTGACTACTCGATTGATCTTCGATAGTGATAAAAGGCCCTACATCGCGACTGTTGGTGATGCTCACTGGTCGCGAACGACGTGCGAACCCATTTTTATCTATGAGCCTGCATATGTAGTATGATACTATACATACGGCGCGAGAAAAAAAAAAAGGAGAATGGATTCAGAAATGTATACATCCTTTGGTGGCCCATTTCATCGTTGTCTTTGTCTTCTTTCACCTATGCAGCGCAGTTTGTACTATAACCTAGTAGATCGAGTCAAAGCTGATATACATGACATTCAATAAGTGCCAGTTAGGACTGGAAAACAGGCCAAGGCAAGTTCTAAAATTGGTCGAGAACGTGTCACGCAAATGTTTATTTTATATACGATGCGCACTCGTGGTACCGATACCTGCGCATATCATAAACTTTAGACAAAAACGCAAGTTGGTCAACGTGTGTTTGCGCAATATAATACGCGATAGTTGAGCAGGTATATATCCTCAAGCTCTTTTGGGGACACGATCACTTTCGCGTGACTTCACGTCGTGTTGTGCGGTGATTGATACACGTACTAAACAGACGTGAGCTTGTTAAGCCGTCAGCGTCGCGGCAGCTCACCTTGCATCGTTCTCGAGGCGGCGTGCGCCAGCTGGCTGTTTCGTTCGCGGACGCGGCAAGTGATCGTGCGAGCATACGAAGGTCGTACCCCAACTGCGTATGCTCGAGGATATTATTTCAGCTTTTTGGCGAGCTTGGCTACGTATTTCCAATCAGACAATGCAGAAAAAACCAGCATACACGCAGCGCATTGTTTTGTTTGCTGCCATGACTGTAGAGCTTGTTTACGTTTATGCTGGCTGTCCCAGCATTCGATTTTGCGATCTTCGGGCAGCTTCGGATTCCCCACACACGTGACCACGACGCTATTTCCTGTCCGGACCGGAACTAGCTGACTGACCCTCTGGCTACCTCTGGCTGCCAGAGGCCTGAAAATCGAAGAGACCCACTTTGTGGGGTATTTACGTGCGTTTAAAGTGACCCTGAAACACTTTTTCAAATAACCATGGGATGGCTTCACTAAAAGAGCTTACTGCCTCACGAATTTCCTGCCTCAAAAATGTTTAGGATCTGTCCAGTACGAGCCGAGTTAAAAAGATTTGTTGCATGCTGCAATCCCATTCTTTCTTTTCTCATCCCAACAAAAGCGCTGGAAGCTAAGGGAGGGATGACAGGGGCAAAGAAAATACGTCAAGAGCGTCCCGTGACCTTGAGCACTTTTTTTTTTGTCTTCAAATACGCAACTTCTCAACGTGATCATGCACGCACGCGTGGACAAGTCGCGGCCCCCTGCGGCGATGCCTGTAATGACCGAGCACGCTATGTTTAAATCAGCCAATGGTTGATAGATGGGCTTTTTATGAGTGGTTCTGAATGTCTTCCCTCATTTGTTGAGAGAAGAGAAAGCAATCTTTAGGCGACTGATAATTTATTGTGAATTCCAGGCCACGCGCAGCGTTATAATATTTGGCTTACGTGTTCATTGTTCTCCAACAATATGGAGAGTACCTACTAGTTCAAGAAAATGTGATGGTAGCTGAGCAGGTTGAGAGACGCAAGCAATGGCTGGCACTGTTGATATGCACGTGTTCGATGCATGAAACATGACCAAACTCGACCTCCTCTAGTTAATCGTGCAGCCACTATACACGACAGTTTGTGAAAAATGCACTAAATTCGTTATTTTCCACTAGTTTATGCCTGAAATGAGAGCCATGTCTATTGATTGCAACACCTAATTTCTCAATAAGGCTGAAAATTCTGGCAGCGAAAATTTCGATCCGCATCCCTTTAATAAACGACAAGTTCACATATGCAAACAAGAAACTGAGACGAAACAAGGAAGGAATGTGTCTCACCTGAATTATAATGGGCCGATAGGCATAAATTTTGAGGTTGCTCACGTGGGCTGGATAGAAGTCGAAGTTGAGTGTGCGCAAGGTGCAGTTACTAGAGTTACACATGTTTTGTGCCTGCACAGAAGAGAAGAACATGGCAGCTATTGAAGTACAGAAGAGAACAAGAAAAATATCTGGCCTGTACAGGAACAATTACAATGGCACAGTTAGACACCAAGAGAGAACAAATGGACTGCAATTGAACAAATCTAAGCTTATCATCGTTTCTGAGAGGACCCAGCGTAGTAGGTCAGCCAGAAAACTTAGCTTTGGCCACACTCCCAGGGACTGAGACTCACGAAAAAATAAGCAATGCATGCTAGCCATAATGCGGTATTGCCATGCCTTCTATAGTAGTAACTTTTTTCTTTTTTTGCAGAGTACACGTAGCCTTTAAAGTCAAAACCTTTAAAACTGGCTTCCATAACAGAGAGAGCTGTTTGCAAGGTTATTAACTAGTCCCGCCATCACTTGTGTTTGTCGTACAGTTGTCCAAGTCAACATCAAAAGAATTCCAAGCACAAATTTGTTATTGTGCTGAATGCGCACAGATTTTGCCACCTTACCGTAGTATAACACGTACAAGTCAACACACAACACAACATTTGAGCTCAAAAACTTTGTAGAAACTACGTAGAGACTACAGGTATGTTCACGCTTTCTATGTCATGCCCTCACAATGCCTTCATATTACCCATGCTGTATGTGAGGCAGGCGCATTGGAAGATTAGAAGTTCTTATGAAGCACATGCAACACACAATGTGAACGGTTGCCCAAATGACAAAGCCAAACAATGTATCTCATTAAAGCCTTTAATTGATATCTAGATGACATCACCAATACCTTTACCTGAAGGTTATTGTAATTACTGCTATTGTTGCCATGGCTACGGCAACTGGCAGAAGTCTGGCAGTTGATTGTAAGTGTAGCCATGCAGCTTTGCTGCAGCATTTGTGCAAGACTGTGGATGGCGCTGCACTGTTTTTCAGGAATAAATTAACTAAAAGAAGCCAAAACGTTTATCTTGTTAAATGCCCTGCTTGTAGCTATTAGCAATAGAGTTAAAGTTTATTTCGTTTCATAGTTTGTTTGTTTTTGCACCAACTAGGTTAAAAGAAGGAAGGCAGCAAACAAATGGCACAATTAATACGTCATCAGGTGTGTGTCGAAAAGACATCCTGTATTGAGCAGATGACACCTCGGCACCCTTGTCAGAGTTCAAAGTGCCAGAGCAGACCGAAGTTTCAGGAGCAGGCGACTGCAACAGCAGCACAAATTAATTGTGTTTTTTGCATGACTATCGCCTCTTGCCGCCATTTCCAGAGAGACAACTCCTCCATTCTAGTACAGCAGGCTCTCACTGAACAGAACCTGAACGGACCAGGAAAATATGTTCTATTTGTAGTGAGAAAGAGGAAGATGACGAGTTCGTTCTGGCTGCTGCGCAAGAGATCTGCGTTTCTGTCAGATCATCGCTACCGTGCGAGGCAATTGTTACTGCATCAACAATATATCGTCCTAAGACATTTTTTCAAGGCTGCTGCCATCCCTGCCCTCAACCTGGAGCTGCGCAACCACATGTTGCCAGCTGCTTGAACTGCTGCTAGCAGAAGTTACATTTCCTGAGAGATGAACCGGGGAGCAGAATACAAGAACGAAAACAATCTTGTCAGAAGCACCTGTTCCATTAAGGAGCAGTTCCGTTTACCAGATTCCCATTTATTGAATGTCTACTGTACACTCTCGGGGAAGCCTGAAACAAATGCTCTCAGGAGGAGGAGTGAGGGGACGACTGACCGCAAGCAGCTCAGCTGGTCCAAAGTCCAGACCGTAGACGACCACTGAGTGGTCGGGGAAGTGTGTCTGGCAAGCCTCTAGGAAGCCCGGCAGCCGGCCAAGCTGGTCGACACCCATGGCGGTGCCAACGATGGGTGGCAGCGGCCCGCTCTCGTTTGCCAGCAGGGCAGCTGGGGAAGGACCACTCTCTGAAGACGTGGCCGGAGACAACCCCAGGTGCAGCAGGTAGCGCTCGAGCTCCTGGGGATCACGCTGCTCAGGAACAACCTGCGTGCCACCCCACACCGGCTCGTCACTGACTGAAGCAGACTGGTACACCTTGAGTATCAATGCCTAGCTTAACAAGAAGGACTTACAATTAAAAAAGAAAAAAAGTTAGTGAGCAGCCAAACTTCTTTTTTTTTTTCTTTTTTGTGGCACAAGAAAGTTATAGACCAGTCTAGAAAAATAGACCTGCTTAGACATGGACAAAAAAAAAACAATGCACAAGGACAGGCACTGAGTGTTCCCTAGACAGTGTCTAAAGCAGCACTTTTTTTTTTTAACATAAATCCTTACCAACCAGCTCCCTTTCACACTTATAAGGAGTTCTTGACACAACTTTTCTGCACTGTGTCAGTGTATATGCCAAAGACTGACTGAAACACACTCTGGGCTGCGTAATTATGAAACTTGCAGTTTTTCACACTCTGGGTAAAAAAAATTTTCCATGACATGAGATTTGAAAAAAAACAAAAAAAAACGCCAAATTCTTGCATCATCTTGTAAACATGGCTCTCACCTTGAGGTTTTTGAGATTGGTGAGCTGCCGGTGGGTCTCTGAGACGAGCCCGTCCAGGGCGGGTTTTGGGTCCCCATAGAGGCAGATGAGGGTGCTGGTCACCACAATGCAGGCCAGCAACAGGAGGAAGCTCTTGGCCCGCATAAGGCTGCATCCGCAGGCGCTCGCCGCCTGACGCCAGCTCTCAGCTCCAGGGCACCGAGTGATGTGTGTCTCTTCCCCAATTAGGCACGTCGCGGCGGCCAACCCTCAGCCGCTCATCCTGCGTGCACGTCCAGTTCCATTCCCATCAGTGTGCTGCTCAAGGATGATGACCGTTGGGGTTTAACTCCCAAAACCACAATGTCTTTACGAGAGACGTGTCAGTTGAGGAAGCCATAAACTTCAGCCAGCTGAGGTTCCTTAACATTCACCCAGATCTAAGCACACGACCCTCAAGCATATTCGCTTACAATGAAGACATGGCCACAGCAGCCAGGATTCGATCCCACGACCTATAGGCCAGCAGTTGAATACTATAACCACTAGACCACAGTGGGGGGTGGGTGGGAGGGGGCTAAAGAAAAAAAAGTGTTTCGTATAGGTGGACTTTTAAAGGAATCCAGCAGTTTCATGTACCAAAACCAGGAAATTATTATGAGGCACACCATAGGAAGGGACTCCAGACCAATTTCCACCACCTGGGATTTCTTAAAGTGTGTTCCTATCTATGTGAAGTGGTGTTCTTGCATGTTGCCCCCAACAAGTATTTCCATCATTGCAGGGAATCAAATCCACGTCCTCGTCCTTGAGGCATTGGCACAAATTTTCGAAGGTGTGTTTAGTCAGCCATACAAGTCTCCTATATGTGGAGATAATTCTGGGCCTGTACAAAGCTCGGTAAGTGCTGATAATGTCTTTTAGTTTAACATTAAAGTTTATTTTTGCGTGGCCCACCTAGTAACATCGACAGTGTAGTGATGTCAGGCTCACAGGCGATGGCATGGTTCCCCTTGAAAGAGAAAAGGGGGGTAAAGGCACATCGTCCCCCTCTCTGCTAAGTCAATATATAAGGCAGACCCCCCCCCCCCTCCCTGTTTGCACGCCTATAATCAGGCTACAGTGTCAATACTGGTGACATTACACTCCAAGAGCTGTGGAAATATCACAGTATCTTGCAGGAACACGTGACGAGAAGCTCGTACCGTGTTCTGACTTGAGGCTACAGTAGGAACAGAAACCAGCATTTAAAAACTAACTGATTGATTGATTTCTGGGGTTTAACGTCCCAAAACCACCATATGATTATGAGAGACGCCGTAGTGGAGGGCTCTAGAAATTTTGACCACCTGGGGTTCTTTAACGTGCACCCAAACCTAAGCACACGGGCCTACGACATTTCCGCCTCCATCGGAAATGCAACCGCCGCAGCCGGGATTCGAACCCGCGACCTGCGGGTCAGCAGCCGAGTACCTTAGCCACTAGACCACCACGGCGGGGGTTTAAAAACTAACTACTCTTTCAGGTTGTGTTCATGCTTACCAGTACATTTTCTAGGCTCTTAAGGGCTTGCCCGTTCATTTGACAAAAAAAAAATTACACCTGAAAATCTTCGAGACAGCACTCCCTTAAAAGTGCTCCACTATGTACATCAAGCCACTGAGTACGTTACATAACGTTCATGAGCACAACCAGGATGGTCCGTACTCTCATGATGACTCTCTACAACTGTGCCAAAAACTTGCACAATTTCAAGGCAAGAAGTCTTCTTGGTTTTTCATATGCCACTACAAATTCTTTATAATCAGCCAGAAGGAACAGGTTGACTTATCAAACTTATCATCAAATTTTTTATGCCCACTGAAGGATGAAGGCCTCTCCCAAAGGTTTCCAATTTACCCTGTTTCGTTTGAGCCAATTGCATTTATGCCTGCAAATTTCTCAATTTTATTCTCTTGCCTAACCTTCTGCTGACCACTGCAAGTCTAGCTTTTCCTCTAGTTACCTTGTTGTCCTCCAAGTTTCGGCCCCATATGTTAGCACTGGCACAAAGCAATGACTATATTTTTTGCTTACTGAATCAAGTTGCCGCTCATGATTTGAAAATCCCTGCTATATGTGCTGCTGGTTCACCTTAGTTTTTGGCAAACTTTGTTTTCTTCAGCAGTAATTGATGCAGATATACACATTCTTGCACGGACTATAGGGGCTTGTGGTAAGTAGTGAAATGTTCTCTGCTGAGCATCACCTTTGTCGTCCTTTACATATTGCTACATGCATGTTGACACTTTGTGGGACGATGCGCGTGTGTGCTGGACAAAGAGTGGTCTCCACTCGGTGTCTGATGAACCGGTCAGCCGTTGCTGCCTCATCGCCTTCAACTGCCCCACAGACCACCGATATTGTACATGTGGCACGCTTGAAGCCATACCACTCTCCCGCTGACGTTGACATCAAGATGTGCCGAGACTGCGCTTCTGCCGCTGGGGATTATGCAACATCCTCGTAGCAATATTTATGTTCAACCTTAGTTTAAACTTTGCCTGTTGAGGTCTTGAATAGTATTTTTTTGCCATCTGTCGCCTTAATAGCAAAACAGCGCACTGTCATCTACAAACGAAAAGTTACGAAGATACTCCCCACTGACCTTTACGCCTCTTTCTTCCCAATGTAATTGAATATTTATCCTAAACGTCCAGTTAATAACATTGCCTCTGCTTGCCTCTCTTGACAGCAACATTTTTTTTTGGTTTTCACACGGAGAAGTAAGGTAGATGTGGAATCCTCGTAGATATGGCTAGGATGTTCACGTACATACACTTCAAGTACCCCTTGATGACACAGAGCATCCGAGACGGCTCGTGTGTCTATTAGTCACAAACAACCAAGTAGAATGCACAGCAATGGTGAACGCGCTCTGTGAGAAAGGGCAGAATCATCCAAACTACTGTAGGCCGATTCAATGATTTCACACATGCAGGAAAGAAAATGCTTTCCGACAGCTACAACACTCATGCCAGCTCAGCAGTCTTCTACACTACCTCAAAGCAAGCATCTGATGATACGCCATACACGAGCAGAAAAAGCCAGGCCACACAGCTGTTGACAATCGTACAGCTGGCATTCAGCAGGCCCCTATTTAAATGAAGTCTGTGAGTTGCATACACCTACATGCATCACGAAAAAACCAAAAACAATGACGCTGCGCCGACAGACCTCTCTTGATGGCCTGCTGCGAGCTGAGAGAGAATCTGCCAAATCTTGATGGCGATAAAACAAGTAATACGACCGGGAAATCTTACTTCGAGCAGCGTTGAAGTGGTGGATCTTTCTTCACGTGGTCACGCACTAGTTTCGCTCGACGCGGCAGTACGATCCGACGAAAGGTGATACGCGCAGAGCGCGCCTATTCAGCGCGTCCGATACGACCTACCGAAAACACCTGCCGAGCTTCGCGAGGCGGGCCGCCGACACACTTGAAAGAGCCGCTCCTCAGGCAGCTGCGGCGCGCTCCTCTGTTCGCGCTTAAGACGTTACGCGCAGGGCGCTCATAGTCGCCCGCTTGGCCCGTACGAATTCTGGCCGTTTCCCAAATTCCTCCCCAAAGCATGCCAGGCGCGATTTTCGAGCCAATACAGGCACGCCCGCGCAGAATGCAGAACAGAAACGCGCCGACTTCCAGATATCTCCGGAGCGGCGCCCCAGTGGTGAAAAGAACTTTTCTTGTTTTGCGCCTGGTCCTCTCGGCCGGCTAGCTTAGGTTATAAATAGGCGTTTTTTCTGCAACATCTGTTTCCCTGCTAATCGGGTCCGAGGTAGCGGGCTCGGACAGTGATGCAAAGTATAAATAGAACTTAGCTCTGCCAGCACACCGCGCCACGACCCTGCTCGAGAAATCCGGTCGCTTTGAAAACGGGGCACACTCGCTACATGGTTGACAAGTTTTTTTTTGTTTGTTTTTTTTCGTGACTGACGCTTCTCGTGCTTCTGTGCGTGAGCGGGGAAGCCGCCGTGAGCCCGTGGAATGTTTGGGACGCCAGTGTCGAGATCGCAATCGATGTGCCTGCACGCATTTCCTGTCGGCGGAAGTAGGCGCGCGATAGAGAAAACCAATGCCGAGGTCGATCTGTGTTTCGCGACACACGATCCATACTGCTGGCTCGAGGTCAAAGCTTGGCGAAATATCGCTAACATGCGCGCCAGGAAACGGGGAACACGGGGTCGATGTTTAGCGAGGCGGTACGAAACATCAAAAATGTTAGACGCGCCGAGAGAACGAGCAACGCGCAGTTTGGAAATCGAATGGCTCACGAGTCACCTTCCAGCGCGTGCGAAGCGGGCGGGTGGTCAGGAAATTCCGTCCGGTTGCTTGAGGCCAGGATACATCGGTTCGAAGGCGCCACAGCTGACTTGCGCGCAAGTCTACACAACCACAGCAGTCACGCCTTTTTTCGCCAACGTGAAAATTTTACGAGCACGGGTTGCTCGACGCACCGGCACGACAGAAACCTAACACAAACGCCCACAAAATGATCCCGCACTTCGCGTGTTCAAAGATAGGTGACGCCACAACCGCAGCAAGAAGCGCCTCAATACAGCAAGCTAATGCGCGGGAAAATGTGTGGCCTCCGAGACAAAAAACACACATCGCGCACGCTGTCTGCATCCCGGAGGTCGTGAAGTTCGCAGATTAATCTGTTGCGCTGCGAAACAGTGATCGGCACCCTTGCGACTACCGCTATAAGGTAATAAAATAAGCTGTGTCGTACCTGGTTATTGCAAAATCTTGTTGCAAATTCAAACACGTTAAAAATGTTCAAAATTTCTTCGTCACGTGTGTACCTGCAATGGCGGCTCGTGCGTTAGCCTCTAGAAGTTGAAGGAGGCATTGAAGTTTAGCGCCTATTTTCAGCAGTACCAAACGGGATCAAGGCCTTCGTGCACACACAGGTGGTGCCAGCGGGAATGGCGGATAGGTGAGCCTAAAGTTGGTTCTTTCGTGGGTGTCCGTGACACTCTGAACAATTTCGAAACTACACGTGCTTCGAAATATCTCAAGTCCAACGAAACCATACAGAGAGCCTTGATGCTTCGTATGCCAGCATGCAATGAGATAATGATTTGTGCGTGAAATGTGTGGAGGAAGTGTCGAGAAGTTCCTCAAGTTCCTAGCTGCCAGAAGTGCACCAATAGACTTCATGGCCCTCTGGCTGATTTCAGTTACTGCGACAAGCTTCCACAAGGTGCGTGCACCGCCTTGTTATCGAGAAAAGCACAGGTTACGATGTGCGCATACTTTGGTCTTCGTTCGTTCTTATGTGTCCATATATCTTTTGAAATCCATGCTCAGAAACACCGAATTTACGAGGCGCTGCAATGTCTGCATGTGTTGCGCTCAAAATTTAACTTTAAAACTTCCCGCCAAAACCTCTGCCCGTGAATTTCAGCGTGGCTTCACGAATTTTAATGTATTTTACCGTAGCACATAATAGTAGCACCAGTAGTAAAAAACAATTTGTTGGTTTTCCTATAGTCTCAGAGGGCCCGGCCCTCAATCTAGGGACTCATTTTCTGGTGCAGAGCAGTTAGACCTAACTCTCAAACAGTAGACCACTTATGGTTAAAAATTAATTACCGACGATAGCAATGCTCATAGGCGCTCGCATCGGAAGTGGGTGGAAGGGGGGGGGGGGCGCCGACCTAATCATTTAAGGGAGCCGCCACGGTTGTCTAGTGGCTAACAGTTGCGGATCAAGAGGGGGGGGGGGGCGAGGTAGGTAGGGGCGATCGTCTTCCCATAAGGCCTGTGGCTGCACTCCGCCCTCCCCTCTCACATCAGTGCTTGTAGTCCACTTCCTATCAACAATTAGGACAAATGAATGGAACCACCGTGAGTTCACATAAACAGTATTTATGCTGCGAAGCGGGTTTTCTGCTAGTAAAAACAAAAGGTCATGACCACGCCCCCTCTCCTATGTTACTTCAGGCGACCGCCGCTTCCCTAAACTGAATGACTGGATCCGTCCCTGGCGGCAAAGGCACTCGGCTACTGACCGCGCAGGTCGTGGGATCGAATCCCGGCCCCGGCGGCCGCATTTCCGATGGAGGCGGAAATGTTGTAGGCCCATGTGCTCAGATTTGAGTGCACGTTAAAGAACCCCAGGTGGTCTAAATTTCCGGAGTCCTCTGCTACGGCGTCTCTCATAATCGTAGCGCGGTTTTGGGACGTTAAACCCCAACAATTGTTATTATTGTCATTACCTCATTTTTGTGGACAGGTAGCGAGTAGTAGGATGTACCCGTAGTGGCAGGGTCTTTCTTCAGGGTGTCGGGGAGAGTTCATCACAGCAACCCCCCATGCCCTATTAAGTGAATTTACGGGGGCACACATTATGCCCACCTCGGGCACTTAGAGGGGAAGCCGCCCTCCCTACTTGCATTCCATGAACTGGAATGCAACATCACTTTTGCGACATCATTTTCGCATCTACTGTGAACTTCTTTTAAACGCGAAGCATTTATTTGCGTACTGCAAGCACTCTTGCCTTCTATCTATCTATCTATCTATCTATCTATCTATCTATCTATCTATCTATCTATCTATCTATCTATCTATCCATCAATATATCTATATCTATCTATCTATCTATTTATATCTATCTATCTATTTATCTATCTATATCTATCTATCAATATATCTATCTGTCTCTCTATCTATCAACATATCTATCTATCTATCTATCAATATATCTATCTATCTATCTATCAATATGTCTATCTATCTATCTATCTATCTATCTATCTATATCTATCTATCTATCTATCTATCGATATATCTATCTATCTATTTCTCTATCTATATCTATCTATTTATCTATTTATATCTATCTACCTATCTATCTATTTATCTATCTATCTATTTATCTACCTATCTATCTATTTATCTATCTATATCTATCTATCTATCTATCTATTAATATATCTATCAACATATCTATCTATTTATCTATCTATATCTATCTATCTATTTATCTATTTATATCTATCTGTCTATTTATCTATTTATCTATCTATATCTATCTATCTATCTATCAATATATCTATCTATCAATATATCTATCTATCTACCTATCTATCAATCAATCTATCTATCTATCTATCTATCTATCTAGCCGCCCACGTCTGGGTGCTCTCATGATCACCCCCTTAACTTGAGGTAAACCAAAATTAGTATGTTGAAGGTAAGATGGTTTGGCGAATACGACTTGCTGGTCTTGACGGGAATGCCACAATCCCGTCGTGTACGTCGTCAAACACTTCTCGCCAGACGGTGGTACATAGCCGCGGGCGGGTTTGTGCCACGGGTATGCGGATATGCGCCACTGGTGACTGACAGTTCATATTTACCTAGGAACGGCGAGAACAGGTTTGGGTAATTTTAACGCGTGAGCGTTAAGAAAAAGCTGATATCGGCTGCGTAGACTCGACGCATGTAAAGGAAAAATGTGAGGGTCCTAGCAGGGATCGAACCTCAACATTCTGTGTGGCAGCCCGGTGTCCTACCACAGAGCCAGAGCATGCAGGTCTCGCAACTGCTTTTAAATTCACCATTATCTTCGTGAAGTGTCAATTGGGGATGCAGTATTGGCTATCAAATTTTATAAATATTACATGTGTACTCTATATACGATAAAGCCCTCACGTTGGGTTAAAGATCAACAGTAGTTAAGCAATATGCACTGGAATTGATTGACAGTTTAAAACAACCAATTGGAATGGTGCGAAAAGAGATCGGTAGTTTTATTCCGAGAGCTTAAATAAAAAGCAGTGCACCTCCACGTAATGAATGATAATGAGTGGGCGAAGCTAGGCCCTAAGGTCCATAATGTCTACGTTGAAGTCGCCCATAAGTATAAAGGATGGACAGATAGACGGATGGATGGATGGATGGATGGATGGATGGATGGATGGATGGATGGATGGATGGATGGATGGATGGATGGATGGATGGATGGATGGATGGATGGATGGATGGATGGATCCGGTAGTGCCCTTCAAGTCGCAGAGTCCACCGTGCGAGGCGACCTGAAAGGTCCTTGAAGTTAGCTAGCCAACAGAGGGCGTGATGGTCGCTCACAACTTTGAAAAGTACAGCTTCAAGAAGATGGAGATGCTCATCGGAGCTTGAGGAAAACACGATGACACTGTCCAAGTACACGAGGCAAGTCTGCCACTTCAATCCAGCCAGCACGGTGTCCATAACACGCTGGAACGTCACAGGCGCTGAGCAAAGACTAAAGGGCATGACCTCGAACTCGAAGAGGCCGTCTGGTGTAACTTAAGGCAGTCTTTTCTCGGTCTCGCTCGTAAAATGCTTAGTATAACCTAGCTTCTTGCGGCTTTTTAAGTTAGTTGTCTACTCATCTGCTTAGTCGGCTCCGAAGAGAAGACCACAGCAGCTCTGTATTAATTTTGACTGTGCTAATTGACTAGACCTAATCCTAATCCTAACTGTTTTGTATTCGCCGAGAAGGTTTCAACCAACAGGCAATTATCGCGAACGCTATTATCAAGGTCATGATCAGTATGGAGCTATTAGACGTAATCCACATAAGTACGATCCTAAATATCATCATATTGATAAGTCCTAGTTAGCATGCTTTTCCTTAGCGTGCTTATAAATAACACCGCATTAATTCGCATGGCTTAAGCTATCTCATCAAATAGCTTTAGTTAGCCCTGTCCTAGCTTTACGCGGCTTCATTACCGTGGTCTTCTTAAGATGTGGCATAATTACGTAGGCCTTACCTTGACATGGCGCAATTAGCCTGCTCATGGGATGTCCTGGCCTAACTTGCGAAGCACACTGCCCAGCCAAACAGCTAATAAGCCGGGGGCACGTGCTTGGGTGCTAGCAGACTATGAAGACCACAAAGACGGTGCGCGCTGGCCAAGCAGCACGCTAGATTGTGCAGGCCGACTATGATGATTAACACGTGACCTCGGGTTTAGCTGCTGTTGCGATGTTTTAAGGCGCTCTACTGGAACTAATCTCAGAGGCCACCATGCTTATAATTTTATTACACACTCTTAGAAAAAAAGTTGGTAATGAGTTAGTAAACGCGTGTGTTTACTAGTTTCCGGAGTATTTTACAACCTACGCGGCACACTTTTACTAGTCACCAGCTAGTACAACTAGTAACTTTAACCGTTACTAACCAGGGAACTTTTTTTAGTGTTTTTAACTAAGTAACTACTAAGCAACCTACGCTGCCAGATCTTTCGCAGATGCTGCAGTACATTTTGCCGTAATGGTGGCATCGTAAGCAAAATTTAGGAAAGCTCTAATTTATTGACTACATTCGAATAGAAGTTTCGTGCTTCGTAACAGCACACACATAAACAAACAAAAGGGGACGTGATAATGCGTAGAAAACAACAGTTGGTTGGTTGGTTGCGAAACTTTATTGAGGTCCTGCAAGGCGCGCGTCAGCGCGCAGCGGGCGACTCCCACGTCGGG